GCGTGAGCCACCACGCCCGGCCCAGGGCCAGGGAGTCTTTGAAGAGAAAGTAAAACTATTCACTATATTTCTATAGTAGCTTTTTTAGAATGTAAATGTAAGTTTTAGGAAATAAATGATTGTCAAGATCCAAACAATCTTTAATTTACTACCTCTAATTCACAAGCTTCTCGTATTTTTACTTTGCATTCTCAGAGCTAACAAAAATAGGAAAACCATTAGAAACAGTGGAGAAGGGTGCCATGATAATGGCATAAGCAGGGCCTATAAGATCACAGCAATGGGGCAACCAACCATGTAGGTATCACTCTGGAGAGACATGAAATATCCTGTATTTCATCATTATTCGGGTAAAAACAAGTTATGTTATTTTTGAATAAAATTTTTGGAGTAGGTAACAAAATTTCGTTTGCCTGGTTTTTTTTTTCTTTCAGGCAAAAAGACCTTTATTATCACTGCCTATTCTTTAACACAGCAGTTTTCTTCTGTTTGTCACCTTATGTCCTTGAGATGGTTTTGGAAATAGGAGATGTAGTGGGCAGACGACCCTGGCCACAGTCTGCCTAATGTTTCCTCCTCAGTGTAGCACTGGTCACTCAACCAGTTGCTTTATCCCCACAGCTATTTCTAGTTAGGAAGGAGGTACACAAGAATCTGCAGCTGAGCTACCCAGCTTTTGAATCTGTACTGTCAGTTCCAGTGGCTTCTCCAGAATGTGAAGGAGCAAAATAGGAATCAATATTTTGAATATGGTAAAAATGGAGTGTCAGAATTACACTGACTTAACTTTCAATAGGTGGAATTTGATTTGTTTCAGGCAGAGAATCAAGAATTGGCCTTCTTAGTAGATTATAATTCTCTTAGTGTAAAATAACCCTCTGGCAGTTTGTGGTATTTAATATCTTAAATATGGTTTTAGCAAATCAAAACCTGGTTGGAATGAATCTTGAACAATAGCTGAGGCATCTTACTTATTTTATACTCCAAAATGTCAATATAGTATAATATAAAGCAGCTTATAAAAAACATTTCTTTTTTCATTGTGCAAGATTTGTTAAGTATTATAAGTTTCCATGGTTTGCTTAATTCCCTAGGGGAAACAGCTACCATTTTCAAAAGCCCTGACAAATTCTTTTATTTTATCCTTTTATGGGATTTCTTTCTGTGACAAGACTTGAAACCAAGTAGAATTTGGTCTTTAGTATCTGCCAAGGTTGCTGTTTTGGGTGGATAAAAATATTTCCCCAACCTAATAATTACTAGTATTAAGGTTTTATTTAGGCTGGGTCTAAAAGTTCTCAAAGCCTGGCAAAATCTTCAAAATGCTTTTTTTTTTTTTTTTTGAGACAGAATCTTGCTCTGACGCCCTGGACATCATCATAGCTCATTACAACCTCAAACTCTTAGGCTTAAGCGATTCTTCTCCCTCACTCCCTCAGCCTCCTGAGTAGCTGGGACTACAGGCGCGTGCCACTATGCTAGACTAATTTTTTTTATTTTTTGTAGAGACACAGTAGAGTCTTGCTATGTTGTGCAGGCTGGTCTCAAACTCCTGGCCTCAAGCAATCTTCCCACCTCGGCCTCCCAGAATGCTAGGATTATAAGTGTGAGCCACCGCGCCTGGCCCAAAATGCTTTTTAAAAAAATAATTTGGTCCACATCTTGCTAAGTATACCCAATACTCTTATGTATAGCAAAATCAGCATTCTTTTTTTTTTGCTTCATAGTTTTTCTACACCTGAAGGGCTAAGATAAGGTAGAAAATCACCAGTGGGATTAAGTTAAAAATAATTTATCATGTGAGGATGCTTACTAAAGTGGAAGTAGATGTTTTACATTAGATCAGAAAAGGCTAGCCCTCTCCTTTTATTAAATCTCCTAATTTACCTTAAGCATTTTACTTCAAGTGATAAAATTTTTAATGTTCAGTTTTATAGATATTCTATCTGTAGACTGAATTAATTTCTTAAATTAAACCACAGTTTAATAAATGGTTAAAATGAAATGTTTTTTCAGAAGAAAAATTGGCAAATAACAAGACTATTTCCAGAGTCCTTAAGGCGAAACAAATAGTTAATGCCCTTTTATATTGCTTTCTTTTTCTTTTTATTTGTTTTACTCATTTGTTTATTCATTCATTTGTTCATTCATTCGGTCTTTTAAATGGCAGTATCCCTCTGAAGAAGATATGATTGAATGGGCCAAGAGGGAAAGTGAGAGAGAGGAAGAGCAGAGGCTTGCCCGACTGAATCAGCAAGAGCAAGAAGACTTAGAACTGGCCATTGCACTCAGCAAATCTGAGATATCAGAAGCATGAAGAATTCTTTTGTCCTTTGTCAACAATACAGTACTCCTCTGCCTGAATACTGAAGCTATTTACAGTGTGTATCAAAACTACCTATGAGCATGGGAATACAAAATGTTTGAGATTCCTTTAAATGTGACAAAATTTTAGGTTTTTGTTGTTTTTTGTTTTCTTTTTTTTACTCCATTTCAGGTTTGTCACTTTTTTTTCTTGTAAAAGCAGTAACCCAGTC